CTTAGTTAACCATATTCTGTTTTGTTAACAAGTGACATCTGTTCTTCCCTTCCCAAGTGGAGGTGGTTATTTAAACCACTGTAAGAAACTGCATGTCTGACAGTTGCCATTCTAGTTGGTTAGCAACTCGCCACAACCTGTATATATCTGTTTCACAAGTGGCTACCCTTCATTGAGCACCAACTTGGTCACAAGAAGTTGGCATCTATTACCTCTCATATCACAGTATTCCTGGAAAAATGTGATTATCTCCACCTGACTGATGAGGAAACAGCAAATCAAAAAGTTGACATTTTAACATTTCTAGAGTTACAATACAATTTATAATCAGTGGTGCCTAATGGTTTTATAGGCAAAACTTTTTTTTCTTAATGATATACAAAACAATGGTACCTCTTAAAATTTATGGTGTTTTAGGTTTAGGTGAATCTTAGAAATTCTCTAACAATCATACAGCTAATGAGTTATGTGCAAAGTCTTGTTTGTTTCCAAATCTTCTGTTCTCTTACTTCTGTCTCTACTCTAGTGAGAAGGATGGTTCTTCATCATGAAGGGCACCATCTTGTATAAAGGACACTGGATTGGGAGGAATATTCATAAGGCAATGAATGCATACTCACCTAGCCAGCCCAGTCATACCTTACCATCCATGGAAGAGCAAGTGTAGTAGTCACAACATTTCTAATTTCAGTATGTTTGGTTACTTTTCTCAAAATTCCAACTTACGTTCCTCAAATGATACATTTGATTCATTTATAAGCATAATCTCGTAAAGTTACCATTATCATAATCTGTTTACCATTTCTCAAAATTCCAATTTATGTTCCTCAAATGACATATCCAATTAATTTATAAGCATTAATCTCTTTACCATATTAGTTGATGATAAAAAGCCTATACTATTTTTTTTTTTTTTTTGAGACAGAGTCTCACGCTTTTGCCAGGGCTGGAGTGAGTGCCGTGGCGTCAGCCTAGCTCACAACAACCTCAAACTCCTGGGCTCAGGCGAGCCTACTGCCTCAGCCTCCCGAGTAGCTGGGACTACAGGCATG